CAAAATCACCTCAAATTTTTATTACATTTTCTGATATATATTGATGTTCTTATGCTGTGTAGAAAGTTTGAGCTGATTCCGACTTCAATTTTTCAAGTTACGGCCATTTTAAGAAAACGCCAAAATTCTGAAAAATACTCAAGGCTATATATAGCCCATGGTTTTTTTAAAAAATGGCTCCAAAATCACCTTAAATTTTTATTACATTTTCTGATACATATTGATGTCCTTATGCTCTGTAGAAAGATTGAGCTGATTCCGACTTCAATTTTTCTACTATGTATATAGGACACACATTAAGAAATTAATGAAAGAAGTATATTCCAACATGAGCCTATAGAACAAATGAAGGAGTGAATTAAAATTTTTTGTGCAGCAACATGCAAAATCATTCATTTTTGTTCTCTTCTTAAAGTTGCTCCAGTCTTCGTACTATTGTAAGTAGAAAGTTTAAATTCCTTACAATTTTTAACAGTTTATCTAATGAATTTTGAAGTTGCTTCAAAAGCTGTAGCTACATGTAATTGTAAGGTTGATCAGCAGTAAAACATATACATGTACTTACGCGCATGTATAGAACAAGTTCAAATTGCTTAATGCTGCTAGGCTATAAGTAAGTGATATTCTATTTTTGTCTAATAGCACTAGCTGTGATTGCAGTATACTATTGCCTTTGCCTGACTGAGTACATGTACATATAACTGAATTATATCTTATGGTACGAGTTGTTGCTTCCCACTAATTTTACTTCAAATTAAGAAAAAGAATACAAGTCGTATATCGATACACAAAAATAATATTAAATTATGATTTTACATAATGGTAACAATAAATTTTACAGATTTATTGAATGATTCACAAATACAAAGGAGACATAGTACCGTATAGTGGGTTTTTTTCGAGGATAACAAATTTCGTGAATTTCGCGGATTTTTTTCTGATTCGCGAAATTAAATTCCTTGAAAATCAATATAATACGGTACAAGATGGCAGATTAGTGGAAATTTGCAAAAATTAATTCCGCAAACTTCCGGATATGGGTCATTCGCGAAATTTATTATCCTCGAAAAAAAACCGTTATACGGTATTAAATTAACTAACTTAAAGTGTCAGATTGTTGGAGCCTGGTATAATGTAAATCTACATGTAGTTTAATTTAAAGAATAATGGATATTTATTTATTATAAGAACTAAGGGTAGAATGTCTTGTGTTTGTGCATGTGCAGTAGCATAGTGATGAATATTAGGATTGTCAAAACTTTTGATCTTTTAAGATTGCTCCTCTCCTGTTCCTTGAGTACTGTAGTTGTCATAGACAAAGCAATTATTATAACTATCCATAACTGATATGAAAAAGCTGCCACAGGATCGACTGATAGTTTGTATACTGGGTTGTATGTATGTATTAATTTCGGTTGTAATAGATGACATCACGTATTCCTTTATTGGTGAGTGATGAGTAGTACTATAGACACAGCCTGTCAGATACTGATAATATGTCTCTGAATGCTCTTGTGGGATTTGTACAGTTAAGTTTTTCTCATCTTCTGTTGTTGATTGGCCTATTTGAGCTATCCCTGCCGGTAGCTGTTGTGCTGGCTCATCAGCCATATCACTTTCAGGCACCGAATCGTCATTATGAACATCATGATGCAATAGTCGCCTTTCTGCACCTTGGCCTAGTGTAGCACTTAATGGCTGAATCACCACAGGACTGTTGTGCTCTTCTATTGGTAGGGGACTGGGGCCACCTCTTAGAACCAGTCTAGCATCAGGTATAGCATTTTCTTGTCCTTCCGCCATTTTAATTTTCTTTTTGTATTTAATCTAATTGATCGAATGAAGAATAATTTTGAGTATTTCCATGAAAACAGCTGAATACGGTTATTGTTTTTATAGTATTATTATTGTTTTTATAACGATACTAATGTTATTCATTTCATTTTAGCAGTACACTTACATTAAAGTCCACCGTCCACCATTCAACTTTGTTGAAAGTAACTTTGTGGTCACTTCGGTGTGCTTTCAACTCTGTTGCCTAAAATAGAACTGAGTTCTATTTTAGGCAACAGAGTTGCCACGAGATCAAAGTAACCACAAATTTTACTTTCAACAAAGTTGAATGGTGGATGGTGGGCTTAATGGGATATTCAAGTCATTCTGTATCTTATGTCTTAAATGTTGTAAGACAACTCCTCATGCAGTCTGTACATTTTCCAGTTGCTTAATTGTGTTCTTTAACACTGTAACTAGTGTATACCGTATAGCAGCTAAATTTTGAGGAGCTAACTTTTGGCGAATTGCTAAATTTTGGTGATTGGCAGATTTTAATTTGGCAAATTTGTGGCCACGTGCCATTGAGTATGCGTATAATGGCTCAAAATGGTGTATTTTTATTTTGATGAATGGCTATCAAATGCCAAATTTGCCAAATTTAATCCCCTCCAAAATTTCTTGCTATACGGTAATGATGATGGTGAAGGTGAAGTAATGGGGTAATGGTGAAGGAATGTACGTGGATCAACATTCACTGTATTCACTGCATAATATGTTTGTCATTGACTAATTTAGATTTTGATTGTGTTTAATTTGTGTGACCAAAGATTGAGGAATTTGCAGGATGTTCCAAAGCTATCTCATTGTACATACATACCCTCCTGATAGGAGGAGCATCTAACCAACTATTATTTCAGCTGCCAATCACATGCATATATAGTAATGATTAGTATTGTACCTTTCACTAAAACACATAATTAAACAATCTTCTACATGCATCTGTGTTAGTGTATTGTACGTGTATAGCATTAATATTGCCAGTCAGTAATTTTATTTATAAACACAAACTTGATTATTAGTGATGTAACAATGAATCATGACTGATAGCAAAATTAACTGATTATGAATAAAGGAATGAATTATGGTATATAGCATAAATGAATGGAATAAACTGGTGTAATTCACAAAATGTATCAATAACAACACACACACCATATCACACAATGGGGGGACACTTTCTGTATTGTGATATTTATCATAAGTGTCTTCCTCAATTATAGATTCAGTCAAGAGTCGGGTTTCTGTTGAATGTATCACCTTGACTTTAAAGCATCATTGGAAGGCAAGAAAGTACTGGACAGAAAACGTGTACACATAGACATATTCATAATAATTTCTCACAAAGATTTGTCAGTTTTTATAATTATTATAATAATAGTCTAGATTTTTATCAGAAACTAAGCTGTAATTTACAATTATTAGTTGAATCTCACAATAGATCTGTGGTTCAATGTAGCATGCAAACATCAACAGTCTATCAACACCATGTTTGTGTATGCCTGCATTGACAGAGCACACAGTAAACATAC